CCATATATAGTGTCTAAATCACAGGCCACTGGTTAATAAGAGTCGGGTGTACTGCTCTGAAGTTCATCCTGTTCTTCTAAAGTTTTGAAAAAGTAGCCACTGAGGGCAGAGGACATGAGAAGGATTCACGTATTCTACCACCATTGCCTTCATAACGGAAACCGTGTGTCACGATGCCATCACACCACTAATGCAACTGCCCGGTATAGATTATTCGGCAAAAGAGACAAGCCAGTTGATGGGGTTGTAAACCTCCGTCAATTCAGTCGACTGGGATGTGTATTGCTCATACTCAGTTACCATCTGTACGTCACACATTGCTAGCTGAAATAGGTTCAGGCTTGATAAAGGTAAGACGTAGATAGAATAAAACGAGGCATCATTCCATGAAGTTTCTAACTGCTGTTCTGAACTGTGTAGCAAGTCCTAGACTGTTTCAGTTAGGGTCCGTGTGACAACGGAAGTCAGTGGTTGGCAACTCTTGGCGAACCAACATATATAGTGGCACAGATGTATCCGTATTTTATCATAATGCCTAATTTTGCTGTTGTTCCGTTCTGTCTTTTTCTTTTCTGACAACCTTTTTTACTTTCTTCCTAATTTCTTTGCCTTTCATCTCGATACCTGCTGCTTTAATGTGTTGATGTGTACAGCAAAAGCGTATGCATACAACTACTACACTTTATAATTAATATGACACCTACGTTTTATAAATATTAAACATCGAAGATAAATAATAAAAACAACAGTAACATACTAAGTAACCAAACTGTAACTAACAAAAGGTCGAGTTTATTATCATTTGAAATAATGAAGATGGTTGAAAATTACTAAGTTGCGCATTAAAAAGGTGTTTTAGAAACATTTAATATATGTATATAACGTGAATTCGGTTTCAAACAACAAAAAAAACGAGTAGAACACAATATCATTACCATTTGTAAACAATTACAAAAATGATTTATACGAATTCTGGTCAAAATTTGACCGGATAGTTTCACAAATATTGTATGCTAAGTGAAAAATTGACATTGGATATGTTATATTTGGACAAATCTCAGCGTGTTTGAAATGAAGAATGCTGACGTTTCGCACGGAAGTCTGTCCAAAGCTTTTCAGGGATACATTGAGTAGTCAGCGAATTTATATCATTTTTTTTTTGAATTTATTGGTAAATTATGTAAAAATATTACTAGTCTTGGTAACTTCCAAATACTTCTCCGAAATTTCGCTCTATGTGTAACTATTTATGTGAAGTATTTAATGAACTGTCAGTCGTTGCTTGACTACAGGATCAGAGAAAACTGTTTACTTAATCTCATCATTCGAAACCTGAAATAGTAAAAATAGGATTTCCAATCTAAGGTAAGTCACCATGATTCACTTATTTATTAAATGTATTGTGAAGTAAAACACCTTGCTCATATTATTTGTGGCTAGTGGTAAATTAGTGTTCACCTTCTCAGTGAGTCAGTGAAACTTCCGGTTACAGAAACAAACCCAAAGAACAAGATTCATAACCGTCAACTTAATTAATTGCTTTAGATAGAATAACATCACCCAAGAAGTCATTTAAATTCACTCAATACAAGTTAGCAATATTATACTAAACATTTGGTTTATCAATCTTAAAAACTATTTAGCAAAGTTTTAGCTACTAATAGAAGTGCCAATAAACAGCTCAAAAGAAAAGTTTGTAATTAAAAATCTGAGTAATATGCCCATATGAACTTGGCATCAGAGATCAGTCACTTAAAACTAGATAAATTTTCAAAGTCGACACTTTAGGATGAAAGTCTAATTTCATCAGGATGAACATCTAACAAACATAAGTGTTCTTTTGATGAGTTTCATCAGCTATCAGTGTTTTATTGTGGTCAATTCAGTTGGTCGTAAGTGCAAGTCTATGTAGACTGTAAATTTGCCACCTTTTCAAAAACATGGAGTTTGAAAAGGAATGTGATAAGGTTTGCGAAGAAGTAGGTAGCATATACCACTATTATGACGAAATTTTACCAGAGTAAGTCACAGCTTAATAACATATCCCTTTCATTTTTTTATTCATGTTATGTATCCTAATATATATATATATATATATATATATATATATATATATATATATATATATATGATTGTAATTTTAAAAAATAGTAAGTGAACATGAAAGTAATGGCGCATTAGCACTAATCAGTCCTGCCCAGACCCCAAATTCTTAGATGACCAGTTAATGAAGTTTGTTGGACGTTTTGGCCAGTAAACATGTCGAGCGACACGTTTAGACGGCGCTCTGTCACTACCGCCAGTGATTTTCTTGCCGGCACAGTCACTATCTTTTTGAACCGAAGAGTCGTCCTCAGTTTTCTGTTGTAATGGTTTTGCTGATGATGCCGCTGCATGAAGGGTTTGATCGTCGTCAAAATAAGCTGTTTATTGGCAGTTGACACGTACAGCGTCTTTCTATCCTTATCTATGGATGACGAAGAACTCCTTTCTGCTGACAGCCTTGAAAGGTATATCGTAGGGTGGTTGTAAGTGTTCCGGGACGGCATTACAACGCGTAAAACAGAGTGCATAATCTCCAAGTCTTTTGTCAAACTGTACCCATCTACACTAGATTCGTGTGGACAGGGAGTAGAGACAACGCATGTGAAGTTCAAGGGTTCGCGCATAGCCGCAGATATCGGTAGGACTTGGGTCACTACAGTTTGGAACAACCAGTACACCGGGCAAACTCAAGTTACTTGCGTAAACTAATTCAACACGAGTACGCTAAATATCTATCTTAGTCCATTTTACATTATCGACTGCCATTAGTGAAACCTTAAGACGCAGATGAATAACGAAAACTTACTATTTTCAGCCATCCAACTACCAAAACATAGTTTTGAATGAAGAGATTATCATTATTGCCAACTATTTGTTTACTGCATGACAAGTACATATGATGAGGTAACAGAGAAATATTTTACAGAATACATCCGCCTCACTATAAACTCATTATAAAAAGATAACTTGCGCACACAAGGTGAGAATGCTGCAAATAACTACGAGAGGTCACTCGACACACAGAAGCCTAACAGTGAGATGCTGAATGTAACGAAATGACACAAGCTGGCAAACTGCAAAGTAAATGGAACTGTTTAATAAAACTACTGTAATAAGTAAAGAAGTTAATCAAAATAACTGTCTAAAATGCTCGCTGTACACACTGTTCGAACGAAATAAGGATCACTAATGTCATTCACGCCACATTGCGCTTACATAACATGCTGGATACGTATAGTGGAAGCAATAGGAGTACCGGTTGCCAGACGCAATTCTAACACTCGAAATGCAATATCCATCTTCGCGTGAGTGAGATAAAGCGTTAAATGTCGTTGTTTTGGTTGGCCAGTACAGTATGGCCCTCATAAAAGCGAAGGCACTAGTCTTTGGTCTTGTAAACCTCTAGGTTTTGTTTTCACGCTATATAGACGCACTTGTATAACAATCGACATTGGCAAAGCAACATCAAAATGTCCTTCAGATTAAATGTTTTATCGGTAAATCTAGTAGACAAATTCAGGCAACTTGTGAGAAATGGAAGCATACGAACATGGCAGGAGTGTGAAGTGTGTATCAAACAATTCCAAAAATTGAATCGTTTAATTGACGGGGTCTTCATAAAAATGCTGAAGGAAACTAACAATTTGTACAAGATTCATGATTCTCGAATAAATAGGGATGAGAAAGTATACTCGGCATACAAGTACCAGTATGCTATTTTTTGTTGCCATGTTGGTCAATGGAGGAAGTTAGAAAGCAGTAGGCAGCAAAAATCCCAGTATGCACTGTCATAAAAACCATCACACATACATCGCAGATCTAAGTTCTTGGGTTGCCCATTCACCTTCCGGATGAAACTGAATTTTGGACGTTATGAAGTTGTAGAGCACGTTAACCCTATACATTAATGCCATTCCATGATCAATACTACCTATAAATAATGATAGTAATTTATTAAACGAACACATGCCATCTTTACAAGCATTATCTGAGTGTTATTGTTCTGTCAACCTGAGAAAATCTAAAAATAAATCGTCGCGGTACATATATATATATATATATATATATATATATATATATATATATATATATATCTTGGTATATGAGCTTCTATGCGCATGCCAACAAATGTTGAACAATTCCAACCAATATAACAACGGAGAATTACAAGTACATCAACAAATAGACATAACTGAATGGTTAAAGCAAGGTAAAGAAAAGTATTTCGATGCAGTATATTCTATGGTAAAATAAGATAGCCAAAAGTTCAAAACGCGATCCGTCCTTTCATTCTTCTCCCCCGCACGTGATTCATATAGCCATCCCTCTTTGCTATAGTCTCACTAAACAATTACCTATTCATCCTAGCTTTCTTAATAAGTCTACGTAACTGCTTGCTACAATCTCATGCACCTGACTTTCCCATCTTTTCAGCCTTCGTCCACGAAGTTTTGTGGTCATTGCGCCGACTTCTCAGTCTAAATTGAAGTTGCTTTCATTTCTCATTTTGCTCGGAGCCTGCATAACCACACTCGCACTTATGCACTGATTCGGAAGATGCTGAGATCCACTGACACATAGTAATGATTTAGGAAGATATCGAATGTAATCTCCTATGGGATAAGTTATGTCCCCCATCATTTTTGTTCCTCTTATCTCTTGTGAGCTTCAAGAGAATATTTCGTTTGATGTGTTGCGTAAAAAGTCTGAGATTATTTGACTGAGCTCAGCATCCAGTCTTACAGTTGATTATTCTTTCACTATAACTCCTCTATCATTCCCGTTTGAACCTTCTTGCCCTGCTAAAGAAGAGACGTGCTATACTGTGAAAAGTTTTTAAAACTGTCAGTGAGGCAAGTGATTTGTCTGTATTTTTACTAATGGATATCATAGTCGACAGACATCTGAATTCTTGCAGCCAGACAGCCAGCCCAAGCGTTTTATAGAAAATGAGCGACCTCTATGCTCTCAAAACCCACTGCCTCCCTTCTAAATGGGGAAAATGAGTAATCAAATAATTAAGTATCCTCGAGTGCCTGAATATGAAATTCAGCTCAACCACATCTAGTATGCATATCAACTTAAGAAAATACTTCAAGTCAAAAGTTCCGCATCAATCATGTACACGAGAATAGAAGCACACAAGTATACATTATCCAATGATATAAGCTAAGAGCAATTCCAATTTCCCGATCCTTAATAAACCACTAACCAGAATCATGCCGAAAATTAATTACCAACAATTATCATCAGAGGAAATGCAATATGAGAGTCAGTCTTCATTTCAATAGAGCTCAACAAGAATTTCAGACCGCATCAGAGACCCCATTTAGAAGAAAGTTGTCATTATCACCGTCATTCACTCAAATAACCTTGTTATGGTATAACGGTGAGATCGTAATGCACCAAAATAATACTATGTTTAAAATAAACAAACGAAAATTATATCGAAATTTTAGCCTAGTACTCAGTCAAACATGAATGCTGAAATAAGGCGTGTCAATGCATAGCATATGAATGCGGAAATAATGCCGAAATGCGACAATTAAGCGGATTTTTACGGACTACCCGCATAATTTAGGCACTTGCAGAATAATTTCAGCGTGCATGCGTAGATCCCGCTTTATTTCCGCACAATTCCCGTTTTTGCAGCACCCGCCGCTGCATTTACGTATAATTTCAGCATTATTTCCGCGGGTCAGGGAATAATTTGTAATAATTTCCTACCCCTAACCTATCGATCGGATTATTCTGGCTATTCACTCAATTTAAGCAATGACCGCTTTACTTACGCTGAATACCAGCCTTATTTCCGCACTTTTTCCGCGTTGACCGCTTTATTAAGGCATTATTACGACCTAAATTAAGCACTATTTCGGCACTCAACGCTTTATGGACGCGAAATTTCAGCATTCCCTGATTTATTTACGCAACATATCGCATGGCTTTCAAACATTCCTCAGAGAAAGGCAAAAGTACACGTGAAATTAGGAAATTTATATTTTTGGAAATTGATTACAAATAATTGATTTCAGTTTTCACGTCTTAGTAGTTTTCTGTTTCGCTGTCATCGGCTTTCTAAAAGAAGTGTAAATTAGTACCAAGCGATTTTGATAACGTTTTCAAATATGATTGCAACATAAACCCCAAACCTACCGGCTCCGTATGTTCTTCAATACTGATGACAGTTATCGGCTGTAAACGTGGAAAAGTACAAATTAACTCACTGGATTGGGATTAGATGATTAAAGGTTAACGGGATGTACAATATAACTTGCTAATGCTTTCGGCTTAACACGCCTAACCACCTTGTCCCGTACATTGTGGAAGTAAGACTTGGTAGTTGCATCCATGATGTCTTCAATTTCCCGATGAGATACGAGTGGCCCTGAGAATTTGGATGTGATAACAGCTAATTATAGGATAGTGGATGAACGTAAATCTTACACCTCATGATTTTATAAAAATTTAAGTTGATGATCCCAGCCTTTCTTGAAGTTCCAAGCATGGTAAACTGCATGCCCAGATCAGGTTTCAAGATACTGTTCATCATCACTTTCAAAGATGACTTCGGCTCATCTTGCAATTTCGCAATCATCTTTGCGGTCTGCAAATTTAGACTTCATTAATTTTAACTCACAAATGCCCCTTTAAGTTGTCATCCTATAGTCTGCGAAAACATCAGAAAGTACCCATTATTTTGGCATTTGTATTTCCCAATTAATGTAAAACGAAATAAATTTGTTTCAACTGATAATGCTAATAACTTTATCGAAGTTTAGGTAAACGGGAATCTACAATATCTGAGCTTATATATGATAACTTGATAAGTTTTCTTCTTCACCGGAAAGCACTTTTATTCTGGCGAAGTTTTATTATACAGGTACTCACCGTTATACGAGTGTCGTTTTGCGTCCGTCACGTGCTAGTTAACAGCTGCGTCATCAAAGTACGAAGTTTAACCAAAAAGAATTTAGAAACGTTTTGCCCAAAATAATTCTTCAGTGCATACTGATATACTTTCCATTCGAGTATCATTAGCCATTTACACCTGTTTCCTTATTTGTCTTTTCTATCAGTAAGGTGAGGTGCAGACTAGACTGGTACCAGCGCATATCGAATCACAGGAAACTAGTCACGTTTCCGGTAGTACCAACGCGACTAACCACTTATAACATCACTGACCTAGAAAAACTAAGGAGTGCCAGTCGACGGACGTAATTTCCTATTTTGCGCGAGTGAGATAAAGCGCTAATTGTCGTTTTCTGATTGGCCAGTACGATATGGCCCTAATAAAAAAAAACGGTGTTTTCTAATTTTGGAAACATCGACGCTTCGTTCTTGACCTGAACAGAAGCGTTTTTGTAACAACCGGCATTTGTAAAGCAACATTAAAATGTCCTTCAGATTGAATGTAGGACCAGTAAATTTGGTAGCTGAATTCAGACAACTTGTGATGAACAGAAACTTACAAACATGGCCAGAGTGCGAAGAATGCATCAGACGATTTGAAAATGTAAGTTGTAAGTTAGGTAGCTGGAGGTTTCATACGCCACTACAAGGTCACTATCACTGATAGATTACTAGTTCTTCAAATAGCTTGCTTTAAACTTATGTGATACAATCTCATCCAAATCATTTACACGAGGACGACATTAGCTATTGTGGTTACTTTAGCCATTGTACAGGGAAACTGAATTTTAGTTGAGAATGCGTTTTAAACACCTACCGGTGAAACATGATGCAGAGTTGCTTGTGAAATTTATTTTCAGTAACGTTAGGAGTGTGCCGTAAGGTATTCATTCGATGACGTATTGACTTCCAAGATGTGACTTCAGCACTGACCCAAAACCGAGCTCATTGATTCACGCAAGTTGATTGCCAGCAAACCAAAGAGTTTCTATTCGCTTAGGCAACGTGGAACTATAAACCTTGTCTACGGTTTTGCCAGGGTCCAGGAAAGTGATACAACTGACCGCCTGGGACTGAGAGGTTTGTCAAGTAAGAAAAGCTGCAGCAAAAGCCGTGTTGCGAACTTGAAAGTACGGCAACACTTTCTAAACGCATTCCAATGGATTTCTTCATTACTCTTCTTAAAATCCTCACCACATAAATAGCATACCTTATCTCTCTGAAGTTTCACAAGTGCTGCCAAGTAACTGCCACAGAGATGAGAGGCGATATCATATCATTCAAACAATGAAAAAGTTTGCACTGCCAAGAAGACCGTTAAACTGCAGTCAAAGATAGGCTGTTTACACGGTGCAGCGCTATATACTTCCCCAAAATCAATAGCCTAGGGTTTGATGAGATTCAACACTGATGCTGACCTTGATAATTTAACTGGACTCGCTAAGCTGAAGACACCCGGTCAAGCATCCTCACTATTTGGCACGCTGTCGTGTTACGTTGCACTGCTCGTAATCGACTCTCTAGTCGGTTGGTTGGAACGCATCGGTATCTTGGCACGACCTCGCAAATGCACTATTCCATCCGGCTACGCCATTCTCTTCTTTCTTAGTCTCGTATTCGTGGGTATATAACAAGTTCGAATAATTAGTGGTTGGCCTTTGCGTCTGTCAAGTTCGCATCAGGACAAATCCTAAATTGGTGAGCCCGACCAATAACAAATATTGAATTGGTGAGCTTGCTCCACTTTATACTTGTGTATTGTTTTCATTTCGATAACGTTTATGTATCCATATACAACACTTTCTCCTGTTCAACCGCACTCTCGAGATTGTCGTATTAAGCCGACTACGAACACTATCCAACTCGTGCCATATCGGCCAGACAATGAAGAAACATGGTTTCTGCATGCCGGGGCAGATTTCCGAGAACAGAGAACCGCAGATCCTCATTCCCGATTTCTTGCCGTCGTACGTTCACCGTTGCGGAATTAAACAGGCATGTTACAGCACACATGTTTAGTCCTGAAGTAAGTTATCCTTATGCACTTCTCTAAGCCTCACTCTTGAAGAAAAGCGATCTCACAGATCGCCAGCGCCTAGGCGAATTGCTTCGTAACATCGAGCTGGGCAGCCACTCAGCTACTGAAGTCCTCGCACGCATGCGAGAAGTTACCGGGGCATGAACATTCGACAGTGGCCCTTTCCGAGATCTGTTTCTCTCGAAACTACTGCAACCGGTGCAAACCGTGTCGGTGACACCGCAGTCAGTCGCACTCGATGACCTGGCAGCCTCGGTAGGTGAAATACTGGAGATCTCTAGCAGACCCGTCTCCAACGTGTATTCTGTCTGCGACAAACCAGAGAGTCAGGATTCAGGGGTGACCCGGCTGTGCAACTCTACTAAACGGTTGCTACGAACTCGAAGTCCTAGTTCACGTAGCACTCCACAGAAACGCATCTTAGCGCATCGCGGCAACCCGCGTGGTTGTCCTAAAATCAAACCTAACGGGGTGGAAAACCGGAAATGGTGCTAGTTTCATAATACTTAGGGAGACGAAGCCAGAAGACCCCGGAAGCCATACAGTTTTAACGTGGACACAAATTCAGGTTTACGCAAACCCATCCACTGGATTTTCCTCCTGGCTGACGTTTCTGTGCCCATCATTGGCATAGATTTGCCAAAACATCACGATTTACTCGCGGATGCTCGCCGTCGACGTCTGATAGATAACAACACAGTTATCTATTGGCGGCACCACCTACGTAGGCCCGAGTTTAGCCACCGTCTGAACCGAACAATCAGGCGACGCGTCCGACCAGGCAGTTTTGAAGAAATATTCAGAGTTACAACGACCGAAGCACACTCTTCCGTGCATAACCAGCAATGTCATGCATCACGCCACAACCACAGACCCACCTGTGGCATTCAGAGCCTGGCATCTAGCCCCTGATAAGCTCAAAACGGCGAAGAGTGAATTCGACCGCATGCTCGAACTGGGCATTATCGAACCGTCGAACAGCCCCTGGGCATCACCATTGCATATGGTTCCCAAAAAGGATAGCAGCGACCGGCGTCCAACCTGTGACTACCGAAGTCTTAACGCCAGAACAACACCGGACTGCTACCCGATACCTCACGTTTACGACTTGACTCCGACGTTATGCAGAATGAACATTTTCTCCAAAATCGATTCGGTTAAAGCGTACAATCAGATACCTATGGCAGCAGATGTCGTGCAAACAGCCACATTACTCCTTTTGGTTCGCTTGAATCCCTGCACATGCCATTTGGTCTTCGGAATCTAGCACAAACATTCCAACTCTTTATGAATGATGTCTTCCGTGGTTTAAATTTTGTTTACGTCCACATCGATAACTGTCTAATTGCGAGTCCAGATAAGGAAACTCACCTCAAACATTTGGATCCCGTATTCGAAAGACTGAAAACATGGCATCACGGTCAACTTGCAGAAATGCGAAATGGGAGTTGGACCACTCAGCTTCCTCGGGCATGCCACTGACAACAAAGGTATATGGCCATTGAGAGACAAGGTGGCGGCTATCACTAACTATCCGGAGCCGGCCACTGTGAAGCAGATCCACACTTTCACTGGCCTGGTAAGCTATTACTAAAGGTTTATTCCCAACTGTGCCTCTGTCATGAGACCACTGACAGATCCACTTCGGGGGACTACGAAGTTCGTGACTCTGGACAACGTGGCTAGACTTGCTTTCTCTAAAGTCAAGGAAGCCACTTCAAACGCAACCATGTCTATGCATCATGACCCCAATGCTCCTTTGAGTATTGCTGTTGATGCATCTGACTCAGCAATTTGGGCAGTTTTGCAACAATTGACGGGCAACCAGTGGCAGCCATTAGCCTTTTTCTCGAGGCGGCTACAAGACGCGGAAACAGGATGCAGCACATTTGGCGGGGAACTCCCAGCTACGCACTGTTCCGTACGCCACTTTCGACATTTGGTGGAAGGTCGTGACTTCATTATCTTCACAGACCACAAACCGTTAACCTTTTACCTTAGCTCGGCGTCTGACAAATACTCCCCTCGTGAGTCACGACAACCGGACTACATTTCCCAGTTCACGTCAGATATCCGCCACATTTCTGGAGCAGATAAGCCCGTAGCCGATGCACTATCTCGAATGGCTTTGATAAATCATATCGGGGGCGTTGATCTCGTTGAACTCAAAAGGAAGACCTTGAGCTGCATCATGAGTTGCCGTCCACAACTCTCGAGCTGCGACTTTGTCCGGTTGGATCAGACATGGATACAATTTTGTGCGATGTATCTGCTAGTCAACCGCGCCCAATGGTTTCGAAGAGATGTCGATGCAACGTCTTCAATACGTTGCATAAACCGTCCCATGCAGGTGCACCATCCACCATCAGGC